GTAATGTCAGAAGGTGATGACAGAGGTGGGAAGAGGATTTTTACACAGAACAATAGAGAAATAAATGCAGAATGAACAGAGATGGCAAAGAGATGCGCTACCTGATTTGAAAGTTATATACAGGAATAGTAAGTGAGATGACAACAATTGACAGAGAACTTTAATTACCAGGCTGATTAAATTTAACTTAATCAAATATGAAGGTAAAGCTTAATATAAATTAATAGGAAAAATATAGGAATAATTACATGGTAAAAGTGAACATAATTTTTACATGGGCATTTTGATTGGTATATAGCACTGAGTAATGGAAGATGTTTTCTAATCATCTTAATGAGCTGGAGACATGGAGTGTTTCTATGATAGGATGAGCATAAAGAACAGATTTTGGCATTTTATAAAGTATTAATAAAAGTAAACTTAGAATATACTGCCAAAGAATGTAAGAAATGAGAATGAATTCTATCTTAAACCCTAATTAAATTTACTAAGCTATGTCTGTATTTTTTTATTCCAGGCTGCCTTACTTTGTTTCCCAGGCTGGAGTGAAGTGGCTTACTGCAGCCTCTGCCTCCCAGATTCAAGCGATTCTCATGCTTCAGCTTTCCAAGTGGCTGCGATTACAGGCAAGCACCACCACACCTGGATAATTTTTGTATTTTTAGTAGAGATGGGGTTTCACCATGTTGGTGGAGCTGGTCTTGAACTCCTGACCTCAAGTGATCTAACCCCCTTAGTCTCCCAAAATCCTGGGATTACAGGCATGAACCACCATGCCTGGCCAGTATTCTTTAGTTTTTACAATAATATTATTTGGGTGAAAGTTTTCTGAAGTTATTTGCATCCAGCTATACAATGATAAATAATTAGGAATGCAAATCTCGAAATATGTTTATTAATAGCCATAAAGATAAATTGTTGACCCCTATTTGGTTTAATATTGTGGCATAGATAGTTGATACTCATCACATGTCTCATCTGCTGCCTTACATTCTGCAATTCCCATGTAATTAGTTTACAGTCACTTGACTATCTCTGGCCAATGAAATGTGAACAATAATATGTGATGTACATCACTTCTGGGTCTAGAAAGCTAAGTGTATGTGTTCTCCTTTCATTCTTCCTTTCCCCTTGCTGTAGTGACTTTGGGAGCCTTATGCTGAAATAGGGACATTGCAAGATAAAGAAATTATGACTCTCCAAGTCACTAGATGGAAGAGAGCACTTCAAAAACTTTATAAGGAAAAAGTAAGATCTTGTGCTAAGCCAAGAGTTGGCAAACTATGACCCATGAGCCAAATATGGCATACTTTGCATGGTTTGCATGCTAAGAATAGTTTTTAAATACTTACACAGTTGGGGAAAGAAAAGCCAAAGAAGAATATATTGTGGCCTGTGAAGTTATATGAAATTCAACCTCAATGTCCACCAATAAACTTTTTTTTGAGACAGTGTCACCCAGGCTGCAGTGCAATGGTGCCATCTCAGCTCACTGCAACCTCTGCCTCCTAGATTCCACCCATTCTCCTGTCTCAGCCTCCAAAGTAGCTGGGATTACAGGTGCACATCACCAAGCCTGGCTAAATTTTTGTATCTTTAATAGAGATGACATTTCATAATGTTGGCCAAGGTTGGTCCTGAACTCCTGACTTTATGATCCATCCGCCTCAGCCTTCCAAAGCGCTGGGATTACAGAAGTGAGCCACTGCACCTGGCCCTTTCATCAGTATTTAATAGAGGAAAGCTCTGGTAGAAAGGAGGCAATCTATCATAGAGACAGCAACAATATCCTCGAGATATTCTAGAGGCCTTTTGCGAAGTTCCTAATGCATTCTGCAATGTTCAAGATAAGGTTTGTAAGTTTTATACATATTTCCTTTTATAGTTTGACATATTAACTAGAGAGATTTCTTACATGTAATAAAAGAAGGATTTGAGCCTCAAATCCATTACTTACTTGCTATACGACTTTATAGAGTAACAGGCAGGGAAATTGCTAGGCTCGCTTTTATCCTTAATGGGAGCAATGGTCCATAAGTCTAATAGCAGAATTTCTTAACTTGAAATTCATGGATGAAATTCAGCAAGTCCTCAAATCTCCTGAATATTGTAAGTAATATTTTCTGTGTGTATATATTTTCATTTTTTCTGTAGAGAGCATATAGCTTTCATCAGATTCTCAAAGGTATCTAAGACTCAAAACAGGGTTAACAAAATAATGTGAATAATAATTATTAATATTAATGAAAAAATGGGCCAGGTGCAGTGGCTCACATTTGTAATCCCAGCATTTTGGGAGGCCAAGGTGGGCAGATCATGAGGTCAGGAGTTCGAGATCAGCCTGGCCAACACAGTGAAATCCCGCCTCTACTAAAGATACAAAAATTAGCTAGGCATGGTGGCACATGCCTGTAATCCCAGCTACTCAGGAGGCTGAGGCAGGAGCATTGCTTGAATTTGGGAGGCTGAGGTTGTGGTGAGCTGAGATGGTGCCATTGCACTCCAGCCTGGGCGACAGTGTGAGACTCTGTCTCAAAAAAAAAGATTAATGAAAAATATATGAAAAGTTAATTGCACAGTACACAAAACACTCCATGAATGTTTGTTCATTTCTCTTTCTCTCTTCCCCCACCCCACCCCTGAGACAGAATCTTGCTCTATAGCCCAGGCTGGAGTGCAGTAGGGGGATCTTGGCTCACTGCAGCCTCCACCTCCCAGGTTCCAGCGATTCTCCTGCCTCAGCCTCCTGAGCAGCTTGGCCGGCTAATTTTTTGTATTTTAGTAGAGACGGGGTTTCATCATGTTGCCCAGACTACTCTCAACCTCCCAAGCTCAGGCAAATCTGCCCGCCTCGGCCTCCCAAAGTGCTAAGCTTACAGGCGTGAGCCACGGCGCCCAGCCCCCTTTCTCTTTTATCATTTATTCAAACTTCCCACCTATTGGAGTCTTCTTTTCCCAATTATGTTATAATCCTCTTGAAGGGAGGGCAGAGGATATTTTGCATTTCTTTGTACAGCTTCCATTGAGATAAAGTACAGTTGGAAACTTAAGTATTTATTGAAAAGATTGCAAAAGCAGTGATCCTGGGGGTGTGTATGTGTGTATTGTTTTCAGTATCAAATGGCCCTTTTCCTTCTTTTCATTTCATTTTTTCTTTTGGCTTTTTAGACATGGAATAAAATGTGGGGGAATGTGAAGAGAAATGTTTCAGCAACTACATCTCTTTTGATTTGTATCCATAATTGCATTCTCCTTTAAAACCTCGGGGATCTTCCTGTCGGGTAATTTTTCTAGGAATTGCTGCTCCTGCCCTGTTCTGTGGAAATTCCTTTACCACTTCAGGACCACTGACCTGCTTCCTTCCCGGCTTAGACCTTTCCTGCTACTGCATCCCTCTTTGGTTGCTAGGCAACCAGTCCTGGGAGGCGGTTTCACTGTGCATGTGCTTTCTCTTAGATGGATGATTTGTTTTACCGTTTTTGGTTTTGTTTTTTTTTTTAACCACAATTTGAATCTCATTTTTTTCCAACATTCTCAGCTGTAGCTCTGAATCTTGAGTTTTGACAAACTATTATAGTATATAAGACCTTAGATTTTTTATTATTGATTTATATCTGATTTCTTCTTTAGGAAGCCTTCTTTTCTGATGTATCCCAGGATTTTTTTTTTTATTAATTGTTGGCGTATCATGGGCAACCAGTTAAGACTTCTCAATCCTACATTTTTTCACTGTGCAATGTTCATTTTTGACCTGATTATTTAACTGTAGATTGCATTATAAGCACTGAAACAGTTACATTTAAGAATCACACATAATTTATTGACTTTTCCACTAGATTTTATATCATATTCTGGAATTTTTTCACACTTAGGTCAAAAACTAAATGATAAAATTGCATTCATTAGTAACTCTTTTTTCTTCAAGCATTCATAAAACTAGCTACAAATTGTGTGTGGTCATTTGAGAGACTACACTAAACAATTAAATATGTTAAAAGCTAAAATTATTTTTACTCCCCCCAATGAATTACTATTAAAACCTAATTAAATGTAATATATTGATTTAGTTAAACATATAGGTTCCTTTCTAAATATATGAAAATAAATCCCCTATTATTTAACAAAAGTCTGAAAAAATATAAGAAACATTTTTTTAAATACTTGACATTGTGATTTGGACTATTCTATGCTAGCACTAAATCAAACAACAAAAAATAAATCACTTCCAACCTACTGAACTGCAAGTTTCTGAGAGGGTAATAACTAGTGTTCATAAACCATGATGAAATGGTTGTTTTGTACTTTTTGAAGCTTGGTAAAGCAACATAACCTTTCTGAAAGTAATTGTTGTGATATCAAGAGTTTGAAGTCGTAGCTTCATTTTACTTCCCAACTTTTTGAACCAGCAAATTGACTTTCAGATGTCCATCCTGAGAAAATAACTGACATTCAGGCAAATAATTAAGCTTGAGAATGATCACTATACAGTTGTGATAATGAAGTCTGGAATGACAAATTACTTTATACTAGCAAGCTTCTGTCCCTTTACATTCCCCTTCCACCACCCCACAGAGGTGCACGTGACCTAAGCCTGGCTTCTTAGAGTTTCTCTTATAGATTGTTTGAGTTTTGAAAACATGCACAACACACAGGGATGAATGATGAGAGAAGCCAGTCTTCTGACAGCAATGTGCCAGAGGGAGATTCTAGTGAGCTCTTTCTACTGTGATTCCTACTGCTGCCCTGGTTCCTGTCTTTACCAAGACTTAAGCACATAGTTCTTAGTTCTTTTTATAATTTTTCTAGTGATCCAGTCTTCTTATTTATTTGTTTTGATATAAATTTAATATAATAAATTTCTTTATCTAAAAAGTCTTAATTGATACAGAAATTAGGACCATAATGTGCATTATAAACACACTCCCTTAGGGAATTCTGGAATGTTTGGCATGAGTTACAGAATCACAATGGGGCCAAAGGCAGAGAAAATCTGGCTGTATCCTAGCAAAGAAAAAAAGCCCATCCTTAGGTGAGCACTAGAGATGCTGTCAACCATGTTACCACCCATCTCTTGAGACTATGTACCAGCCGAAGACGGAGTTCTAGGAAAGTCAACCAATTTCAAAGTCACTATGAATATCAAGACCAGTGGGTGGAAACAAAACAAAACAAGACATTCTAATCTCAACAGAATTACTTTAAGGCAGTGCACAATAAAGCTCAAGATCACTGTGTGCCCAGGTACCAGAATTTCTCTCTGCTTGGCTAAGAACATTGAAAAACAGATTTAGATTTCACTTTAGAGATTGGTCTCTAATTCAAAGGCTCTCAGTTATAGCTTCTCTTGAAAAAACAACCTTGCCAGATCTCCCATGCAGAAAGATTGAGATCTCAGCAGGGGTTTGTAAAGCCTGGGACATGCCGGTACTACTCTATCTCTGTTACTGTAGATGTATAGAAAGTGTGAAATGGAGAAATATGAATCCTTGAATACAAATAACAAAAGTTATTATAAAACACAAGTTGAAATAAACACTGGAAGAGATACGTAAAGAGTTATGGTACTATAGTTAGACTAATCATCAAACCAGAAAGAGAACTTAGATTTGGGGGACAGCATGAAAGTTGAATGTTTAAGAATGAATGAGAATGTTAGCATATGGAGGAGAGGGGAGAAGATATATATTTACACACAGACGCAGACACACACACAGACACACACACAGACATACAGACACAGACACACACACAGACACAGACACACACGGACACACACACAGACACACACACACACACGTATATAATTTTAATAAAACTTAAACAATAAAATTTTGCTTCTAATTTATCACTGGAACAAAACAGAGCACCAAGAAATAGATGTAGTCAAATGTGTTCAGGTTATTGTTCACGAAGGTACAAAATCAATTCAATGTTGCTAAAGTGATTTAATATCCATAGGCAAAAAATGGACCTTGCCCTAACTCTCACACTTTATACAAAATTAAATCAAAATGAATCATAGAATTAAATATAAAATGTAAAATTATAAAATCTTTAGGAAAATAGAAAACCTTTGGGATATAAGGGTAGGAAGAGTTTTAGTATGATCTACAAAATGGAAAACTGATATATATTTTCATCAAGAAAAAAAAATTTTTTGAGATGGAGTTTCACTCTTGTCACCCAGGCTGGAGTGCAATTATGCGATCTTGGCTCACTGCAACTTCTGCCTCCCGGGTTCAAGCAATTCTCCTGCCTCAGCCTCCCAAGTAGCTGGGATTACAGGTGCTCATTACCATGCCCCGCTAATTTTTATACTTTTTTAGTGGAGTTGGGGTTTCACCATGTTGGGCGGGTTGGTCCTGAACTCCTGACCTCAGGTAATCTGCCTGCCTCAGCCTCCTGAAGTGCTGAGATTACAGGTGTAAGCCACTATGCCCTACCCAAAATATTTAAAATTTGCTCTATGAAAGCTCATAGAAAAAGTAGGAAAAGATAAGAATTAGCTATAAGAAAATCATTGCAAACCACATACCCAACAAAGGCCTGGCATCTAGAATATATAAGAAAGTCTCAAAACTCATAGTAAAACTCCCAAATAATCATTGCAATTAGAAAATGGACAAAAAGACATAGACATTTCATTGAAGAGGCAAAAAAGTATATGGCAAATACATATATGAAAAGATGTTCAACCTCATTAACTATTGGAGAAATGTAATTAAAACTACAAGGAATTAGTACACACCTATCAGAATAGCTAAAATGAAAGAGTGACAACATCAAATACTGGCATGGATGCAGAGAAACTGGATCACTCATATATTGTAGATGAGAACTTAAAGTGATACAGCACTCTGGAAAACAGTTTAGAAAATTGCTTAAAAAGTACATATACCCTGTGACCCAGCAACTGTAATCCTGAGTATTAATCCTAAAGTAATGAAAACTTGAGTTTATACATAAACTTGCCTATGAATCTTTGCAGCAACTTTCTTTACAATGGCAAAATACTGTAATAGCAAAACCTGTCCACATGTTCTTCAAAAGGTAAGTCATTAAACCTACTATATTGTACAGATAGTACGTTTTCATTGCTACTGAGCAATGAAAAAAACAAGTTAGAGAAACACAACTTGAGTAACAACTTGAGTGAATCTCCAGGGAATTATGTTGACCCAAAAATGCCGATCTCAAAAGATTACATGCTGTATAATTCCATTCCTATAACACTTGAGAAATTAAGACATTGGAGAAATGGAGGATTGATGGATGACTGCCAAGGTTTGATGGGCGTGAGGGGAGCTGTGATGGGGGTGGAGGGAGGTGGATGTGATTAAAACTGAACAGTTACAAAACCACAGGAGGGTCCTGTTTAGTGTCTCTCCTGCAGTGATAAATACACAAAACTGAAGATTTGGTAAAATTACAGGGAAATGAACACATATATACACATGCATACATACAAGTACACACAGGTAAGTACAAGTAGGATTGGAAAAGTATGAACACACTGGTGAGTTGTATCAGTATCACTATTCTGCTTATGTTAGTATAGTTTTATAAAATTATAATCTTGGGAAAACTGGGTAAAGTGTACAAGGGATCTTTATTATTTCTTACAACTGCATGTGAATCTATGATCATCTCAATAAAAATATCAATTTAAAAATTGATTTAACAATTCACACCTACAGAAAAGACATATTAGGGGTTTATTATTTGCTTGACTAAATGAAGAAAAAGATTTTAACCTCACATGATAATTGTCACAGATGTTTTTAACTAAATTTATATATGTATTTTTTCTATGATAATTTCACAAGGAGGAAAATGTCTATACAATGCAGAAATATACCCTTTGTTTAAAGTGAGTCATGTAGCTATAAAATTTTTTTTTATTAGAGACATGCAAATCTTGCTCTGTAATGATTTTGCTTCAAATATTCTCTTTACAAAATAGACTCAGTGTGATTGCTTTAGTGTTAGCAAAATCCAGAAAATCTTAACCCTGACATGCTAAAGAGGTTTGGAGAGAATCTTTAATAGCATGTGATTTCCCCAAAGACAGGTATCTCAATGTTCCAAGCTCCGTCTCCGTGGCCCACCACTGGGGTGAGCAGGAGAATGTTTAAAAGGTAAAGCAGATGAGAAGCATGAGTTCTCAGTGGTCTCCAGAATTCTGAGTCATCTGTACTGTTGGACATTCTTCAATGCTGTCCTGTTTCCTTCCATAGACCCACTTCTTCTGCTATTCAAGGATTGAAATGGTTTCACAGAAAATGAAATATTTTTTCTCAGTGTAAACTTCTTTCACCTGGATACACATTTCTGAAGTTACTAATGTGATCATTTTACAACATTTTTTCCAAGTTTCATACTTGCTCATTTTTGTAAGTAAAACATACCCTTTAAAAAGGTAGAAGTTCAGATATTAGGTTTATTTTCAGAAATAGAAAACTTATTGTTGATGAGTTTTGATATATTTCTAGGGCACTTTGTCTTTCCTCCTACTTGCCCCAAATAAAAGGTACAAATGTTCATATCATTGCATTTCCGAAGCCACAGACATCTGTGGCAAAGCGTGCAAAAACATGACCAACTGAAGCACCACAGAGACATCTACTGGTTGGTTTCTTTTCTTGTGGTCTGGGTTTTCAGAGATTATTTTCTGTGTCATAAAGAATCCTAGCTCAATAGCACTATTCAGCATTGCATATAAGTACTATATAATTCAGCTCTACAGAAAACTCTATTGCCCCCAAACCTGGGACGATTAATTGGAAGTCTGGAGCCACTGTGGTACTTACAGTCCAATCTTCCCATCACAGGCATTCTACTGGTATTTATGGCATTTCTGACAGCCAACGGCAAACAGTCAGCTCTGTTAAATCCAGCAAGTGAGGCGGAGGGTAGGCATCAACAGGGAAATTCACAAATACAGCCCACTTAGAAAAATCTGTAGATGCCATTCTAATCCTTTCATAGATTATTTTCTATCACTCAGGAAGCAGGCAATAATTATGAAAAGGGTTAGAAATACTTGTTTGAGACATTTTCTTAGAATCCCCTCTGAAGCTGAGAACCTACTTTAAGAGGGAAAGATCAGGTAGTAATTCTCCAAGGCTACTGGGCTGTGCCCCAGAAGGAGATGACCTCTTGGACAGAAAGGGATAGTGGCTTTGGTCATCCTTGATTGTGATACGTTAATATTTTGGAAGTCTATTTTTGCTTTTCTAGAATTGCTCAACTGTTGTTCTGTTCTGTATTTTTATATTTTGTGGACATCTTTGGAGGTCTGGTGGTTTTAGGTTTCATTCCACGGAATACTTTATCCCCAAATACAACTGTGGAGAGCAATGATAGCCCAAGCTGAGCTGTGCAATACTTGATTGAATTTTAAATCAATTATACAATGAATTTGGAACCGATGAGGTGCTTCATGGATCTTAAGTCATCATAGGTCTAGCTATTTGACACAAGAGTCATGATTTATTCCTATGGCCTTTCTTTCCCACATGAAGAGAAAGTATAGGTTTATGCTAGAACCAAAGAAAAGAAACATTATCTGTCTAGCAGATTTCATACAAAATACATATCCATTACCATGTAACAGAACTACATTGATATTGATTCCCAGAAGGGAAGTGAAGAGGCACACAAAATAAAAGGCATATTTCCTTTGCTTTACTTAAATTAATTTTAGAATTGATCATATTGCTATAAGTATTAGCCATGAGAAAAGGATTTCTATGGTTTTTGATGATTATGAAAGCACATGTGCATTGTAAAAATGCAGACCTGTCATTGTCTTACCATTTTCCAGAGAAGACCACTACAAAGAGATTTTTATGTTTTTCATTTATACATGTATGTATAACCATGCATATACACACAGAAACATAAATGTAAAAACGTACCATAGTACTCATTTGTCACCTGGTTGCTGCTATCTGCCTTTTTTTTTTCTAAACCAAGTATGTTTAGGATATATTTGTTTGCAATACAGGTAATATTTACTTTATCCTTTCTAAATGCATTCTATATTTACCCAGATTTGGATCCCCCCTCATTTCCCTTTTGAGAGGATAGGGTTCTTTGGCAGAAGGTGTTAAGCACAGGGTATGATCTTTCTACAGAGGGTGTTTCTCCATTTCTCGCAGCTCTAGTAAGAGCCTCCATCTCCCTTATCATCTATCACCTCCTATACAGTTTTCCTCTAAATCCAGAAAGGAGATGGACAATCTTCTCACAATGCCATGATTCATTCTTCCCCTTGCCTCTGGAGTCATTCAACAACTAGTATATAGAGTGCCTCACATATCTCAAGACCTCTGCTGCACATTTAACAGATGTGAGTTAGCAAAACAGACATAAGCCCCGTCCTCATAAAACTTATAGTTAATGTTGTATATATTTCTTGGTTAAAAGAACATAAGAGGCCAGACACAGTGGCTCACGACTGTAACCCCAGCACTTTCGGAGACCGAGGTGGGTGGATTACTTGAGATCAGGAGTTTGAGATCAGCCTGGCCAACATGGTGAAAATCTGCCTCTACTAAAAATATAAAAAATTAGGCAGGCAGAGTGGTGTACGCCTGTAGTCCCAGTTACTTGGGAGGCTGACAGGAGATTCGCTTAAACCCGGGAGGCAGAGGTTGTAGGTTGCCGTGACCCAAGATGGACCACTGCACTCCAGCCTGGGAAACAGAGCAAAACTTCATCTCAAAAAAAAAAAAAAAAAAAAAAAAAAAAAAAAAGCTTAATATATATTGCTTAGAGGGTGAGGTTGTCAACTCTGGATTTTGCCATTAGATGATCAGAAAGATAATTCCCCGTATCTAACTATTGGTCTTTTTGTCTGGGCAACTCAGAAAGTTAAATTCTCCTACCCTGGCATAAGTAAGGTATGAGGTGCAGTTTCTTTCCTCCCCCAGATTGCTGTTAAATAGAGATGCTATTTGTTAAGTATAGTTCACATTTTGCGTTTTGGTATAAGATCCCATCTTTATTGCTGAATTCTTATATTAAGGAGAGGGAATCTCTTTCTAGATTGTATATGCTTTTGCATGGATCTTTGTCTGTTCATATACCAGTACCACACTGTTTTAATTAGTTCTTGATAGTATGTTTTATGACATGGTAATTACTCTTGACTGCTCTACTTTTTTTAGAATGTATTAAAAAATCTGGACATTGACACTTAGAGGAAGTAAGTCCCTTTTCCAGAATAACTCAGATAGCAAGTGGCAGAACTGTCATTGGAACCTCTCTCATAATCATCACATTTCATTGATTCAAACACCTTTGTTTAAAATATCTATTTATCTCCTTCGGGAAAAACTTGGAGGCAGAGCTATTTCTTCCTAACTCTTTCAAATGCCTCAAAGTGCAAATTTCCTTTAGAACCCCCTGTGGGCTTGGGTCATATGTTCACTGAGGCTGGTGGCCAACTTGCTAGGAATAGCTGGAAGGTGAGGAAACATAGCAGAAAAAAGATCTCATGTCTCCACATCCAATGAGCAAAGCTAGTAATGAGTCTTCTGATATGTTACTTTTTAATGTATATTTCAAGATGTGTTCCTACAGGCATGTTCCTTTTCATAGTGGGGCCATAAATATCAAATAGTTATGTCTTCTTAAAATGTCATTAATTTTAAGAAAATTTGCCTAAACCTAATAATAAAAATATCTCACTGCTATTGCAATTTCTATGTATTTAACTATCAGTGAAGTTAAGTATCTTACCCTCTGTTTTCATTCATTACATAGACTTCTTCTGTTACAAGCATATTAATGTCATTTGTTCCTCTCTCTTAGTGTGTATCTATTAAAATCTTATTAATTTGTAAGTACTCATTATATGTAAGGAATATTTAAAATTTTTTTCTACATCTTGAAAATATTTTTTTCTGGTTTGTTGTTGACTTTGGTTTAATGTGTCTTTTCCATGTGAAAATTGAAAGACTCACGTATTAACATTTACTGATATTTATCTTTATAACTCTGAGTTTTGGTATGGGAGATACAGTATGCATGTATAAATAGGAATTCAATTTTGTTTCTAATTTGCAATGAGATAGCATAACATAATATGCTAGGTATATTTTTAAAAATTTAGATTTCTCAAAATATTCATTATAATCTATATCAATTAAAGTACTTAGAAACTGCTCAGCATATTTCACTTTAGTTGTTTCCTTGAATTCATACTGAGGTGAATTCTGTTAGAGATAAATTTGGGGCACAGCCTTAGATCTAAAGAATGTGAAAAAAATTCCCTATGTCCAATGGGAAAATCAGCAAAAGCTAAAAGCAAACAAAAAAAGAAAGTGTAAGAATAGATAGAGGATTTAAAATGTTATCCTCTCTTGCCTTTTCAGATGGTCTTGTTTGTGTCAAGTACAAAAGCAGCCCTTGTGTGTGACTAATGAATCTTCCAAGGCATTCTGCAGACTGTGTTGTCAGCCATTTTAATGGCCTATTAAGCACAAGATTGAATAGATTATGCATGCAGCTGTCCAAAATAGACCTTGAGTAATCTGACTGACCATGTTAGACCTTGTGTGACACAGCATCCCTTAGGCTGATATTAAGAACTCAGACAAGGTGAGAAAAGCCTGTGCTCTAGAAATGCAGTTCTTTCCAGGACAAAAGAAGCCAACAAATATGGAAGACAAAGGTTAGTTGGATGGAGAGCATCACCGAACAAGTACTTCACTCAAAGCTCAATTCTGCTTGTTAATAACAATGTGCCCTTGAACAAGTTATTTTTGTTTATTTATATTTTTTGAGATGGAGGTTTGCTCTGGTTGCCCAGGCTAGAGTGCGATGGTACGATCTTAGTTCACCACAGCCTCCGCCTCCTGGGTTCAAGCGATCCTCCTGCCTCAGCCTCCTGAATAGCTGGGATTACAGGCATGTGCTACCATGCCCAGTTAATTTTTTATTGTTAGTAGAGATGGGGTTTCTCCACGTTGGTCAGGCTGGTCTTGAACTCCAACCTAATGTGATCTGCCCACTTCAGCTTCCCAAAGGGCTGGGATTACAGGCATGAGCCCCCACGCCAGGCCATTTAATTTTCTAAGCTTTCATTTTCTCCTAAGAAGAAATGGGGAAATTTTCTCTCTTTTTTTTTTTTTCAGGGTAGTTTTCATTAATTTAAGTGAGAATATCTAGAGTGTCCCTAGAAGACAACCAAATGTGAAACAAATTCTTGAAAAGCTCTGATATGGTTTGGCTCTGTGTCCCCATCCAGATTTCATGTTGACTTGTAATCCTCAATGTTGGAGGAGGGGCTTGGTGGGGAGGTGATGGGATCATGAGGGTGGACTTCCACCTTACTGTTCTCATGATAGTGAGTGAGTTCTCACAAGACCTGGCCAAGATGGGCAGATCACCTGAAGTCAGGAGCTCAAGACCAGCCTGCCCAAATAGCGAAACCCTGTCTCTACTAAAAATATAAAACAATTAGCCAGGTGTGGTGGTGTCCACCTATAGTCTCAGCTACTTGGGAGGCTGAGGCAAAGAATCACTTGAATCTGGGAGGCTGAGGTTGCAGTGAGCCAAGGTCATGCTACTGCACTCCAGCTTGGGCAACAAGAGCGAAACTACGTCCGAAAACAACAAAACAAGGAAAGTGTGTAGCTCTCCCCGCTTCCCTCTCTTCATCCTGTTCTGCCAGGTGAAGATGTGCCTTCTTCCCCATCGTCTTCTGCCATGATTGTAAGTTTCCAGAAGCCTTCCCAGACATGCCTCCGGTTAAGCCTGTGGAACTATTAAACAATTAAACCTCTTTCCTTCATAAATTACCCAGGCTCAGGTAGTTTCTTACAGCAATGAGATAATGGACTCACACAGGCTTCTTCATGAGCTTCTCTGCCTATCTCCTTTTCATGTTTCATCACCTCAAGGCCTCATCATTCTCTTATCAATTCAAAATTACTTTTAAGTGGCCACTTTGTGTAAGACACCATGTCATGGCCTATTAGACTAGTACACTGTTGAATAAAATATGAGTTTTGCTCTTAAAAAAGCCTATAGGTTAATTAGAGAGATGATAATAAATGTTAATATTTATTGCTCAATTATTCTGTGCTAGATGCTTAATTCCCAGTTAATTCCCACAGCTACTATAAGGGGTACATTTTCTCTTTATCCCCATTTTACAGGTGAGACAAAGTCAGGCAATGTGTCTGAAGTCACATAATCCGCAGGTGTCTGAGCAAGATTCAAGCCCAAGTATCTATGAATTCAGAACCCAGGTTTTAATCAGACTTAACCACTATGCGATGACTAAAAAGTAATTACACTGTGGTATAATATAACTAGAATGTGGTGAATGGCATATGAACTGCAAACAGATTGTCAGGGACATTTAGAGGAAGGAGTGGCCACTTTCAGCTGCAAGAATCAGGGAAGACTGTGTAGGAGAGATTGAAGATGTAGCTTTAAAAGCAATATTAGTCTGTGCTCTGCCAAGATTTTTTTTTTTTTCAGCAGAAATACTTTGAAGTGAAAGTGGGAATCTATCCAATGACAAACTAACATGAGTAAAACACAGCCTTAGAAGAGCCCACTTCTCTTGACTTAGACCTCCAAATGCCAAGCCAGGAAAATGGAACTTTTCCATAAAGAAGCAAACACTATTTCACCATTGGCTAACCATGGGCCAATCTGTGAGAGCTTCCAACATTTTAGCTCAGAGGAGAACTCTGTGTGTGCTGGCCTGATAGCCCAGCAATTGTGTGAACAAAGACATAGGTTGCTTTTGGTACCATCCAAAATAACCTCTTTGAATTCAGGATTCCCTATAGAGCTGTGGTCCACAACTGGTTTGATACCAGGGACCGGCTTCATAGAAGACAAGTTTTTCATGGAAGGGAGGGTGGTAGGATGGTTTCAGGATGATTCAGGAACATTACATTTATCATTAGATTCTCATAGGGAGTGTGCAACCTATATCACTCACATGCACAGTTCACAATAGGGTTCATACTCTTATGAGACTCTAATGCCGTTACTGATCTTACAGGAGGCAGAGCTCAGCTTTGGTCTTTGCCCATGGCTCACCTCCTGCTGTATGGCCCAGTTCCTAACAGGCCATGGACTGTTAGGGGTTGGGACCCCTACTATAGGGGCTGGGGACCCCTGCTATAGAGCATAGAATTGTATTATCTATTTCAGGGGAAGGAGAAAAACAAGGATTTCTCTACCCTATGATAGACTAATATTTTTTGAACCATGTATCAGAAGATTTTTTTATTAATACCATTAGAAACAAAACACAGTGCTGCTAATTTTTTGATGAATATATTTCAAAATATATTTCAAACTCTAGGTCCTATCAGACAACTGCTAATGGGTATGAAAGAGAACTCATTCCAACTACTCCTGCACCTGTGAAATTTTAGTATCAGCCAAAGTCCATGCCAGGGATACATTACCTCTGAATTTCCCTGGTCATATTTCATAGACGTTTCAGCTAGAATTGCTGAAGACTGACTTATTGGGGTGCAAGGTGAAAAACAGGTAAAACTCTTCTCTATTTGCCTGTCTTTCCACTCCTTAGACCCTTAATCATGCTGATTGGAAGCAGGCATTTGTGGCTGACGGTCTCTCTCTTGGCCTGACCTGACACACACATGCCTTGCTCAGCTCGTGTCGTCTTCTTTTGTTTGTTCCACCTGTTTTGTTGCCTGCACGCCCATGCTACTATGACCCTTAGCCTCAGGAGCACAGATTTCTTGCTCTATTTCTTTAGTCCTCTCAGTCTATACACGTGGGAAAGACCTGAATGGAGGGCCTTGCTGCTCATCTATCAGATGTTGAAATCAAAGTTGACCCCAGTGCAAATAATATTTTCAACTTAAATGTTTAACTTCTATATTTTGACATATAGTACCCATCTGATGGGTATCATCTTGCAAATACAGACTCAAATAAGAAATAAATGTATTATTATTTAATTTGCATAAAATGAAATAAAATCTTATCCTAAGTCCTTTTACCACTCGGCTCTTGGGAAATTGAATCATATTACTGCTGGCTTCCCTGTCTTTCACCCTCTGTTTTTGCAGTCAAAATCTGAAGGAAATTAGTGAGAAAGCTATCGTTTATGGTTTAAATAATTGAGCAGGGGCGTGTGTATTGTAACATGCAAAAAATATTGCAAGACTATTTTCTTAGCCATATTGAGAACGGGGCACATTAATACATTATATTCACGTGATTAATACTACCATCTGAATTGGTAGTTAATATATAATTCATGATTAGGAAAGGTTAATACAATTCATGAAAAGCATGAGAACAGTTCTTGGTACATGATTGTCATTATCATTATCCTCATGCAACTAACTACTGTTTGAGAACACCTAGGGAAAGAGAGATCCACATCTCACAAGACAAGTCATCTCAGTGTTGCATAGCTCTCATTATTACCATGTTTTTGTCAATTAAGGTAAGAGAAAGGCTTCAGATTTTAATACATGTGAACTCTAGTTTTTTGCAGCCCACTACATTTTCAACTGTGCTCCTGCACTAGCACCATTGCCAAAGATGTTTTTAATCTATTTTCACTCTGCAGCACCTGCTATTCAATAAATGGTGCTGACCAACAAATATGCACATATATTCTATGTTGAGCTAGAAAAAGTGGTTACTTAAAAAGAAATTGCATTTAATAATGGCAAAAGATAAACTGATATCCTGTTTCTGAAACTAATGAAGAACAAAATTTTACAGAATTAACATCATGATTGTTATGCTAAAATATGTGAGGTTATTTCCCTGAAATATTTATTTGTAGGAAATCATATGCTATCTAAACTAAGTAATTTGGTAAGAAATTACATTCTTTATGAACACTTGTACATTTAATAGCACCATCAACTCACTTCTTCTGCATAGAATAATTTAAAATTTTGGATTAATGAGAAATACGTGTTGTGGAGTTTTAAATTAGGTTTGAAAACTTCAATTTTTTTCAATAAAAGACAGTGATTATAAGCTATTTAGACAATCTTAATGTATTTTTTAGCTAATTGAAAAACCGGTTATTTAATGCAATAGTAAACAATTCTAAAATTTGGTAGCTCTATTATATCCTAATTTATAAAATTTGAAATTAAAATTGCATACAGTTATTTTATAAATAATAAAATGCAAGAAGCCTTTCTGTTAAATAAGATTTTTTTTGTTGTTCACAAGAAACTACCCACTAGATGGCACTAAACAACTGCCAAAATTTTTCAGACAATGACTATACCAGGTCAAGAAAATAATCTGAGTCCTAATGATTGATGGGACAGTTGTTCTGAACAGACACATTTAGTCTCAAAGTCCCTAAATTACACATAGGTGATACTGAAAGCTATCTACTCTATATTTTCTATGTGCAGGCAAATAGCTAGATCTTAACGCAAATGGGAAAATGTAAACAGTTCTTATGATTAAATTGCACTAATCTGAACTCCACGAAAATTCCACTATCTGACCAAGGCCTGGATTTTCTCAATATTTATGAAGAAATAGACTTTGCTAAACAGCAACAACAAAAAAATGAAAAAGAATTCCAGAAACGATAATTTATATATAATTTGTACTGATAATTATAACTATTCTTGACCAGGGGCTGGTAGGGGGAGATGAATATAAAAACATATCACTTCTTTAGGTTTTCTGGCATTTAAAGCTACCTTTGTAGAAGGTGTTGAACTTGTAAATTAAATCACAAAACTAGAAGTATTATAACATATTTACACA